AACAAAAGACAAGTTTATTTTGAGCGAAATTGATACACAGACGCCACCTATATGTATATTACTTTTCGTGACAAAGGTACATGTAAAATCGCCTCCCCCTCTTCACTAGGTATTTTGTCTGGTAATCCTTGAACCCTATATTTCTTCGTTCAGCGTTTTGAAAGGTAGATTTCTTTCATAATATCTGTCAGCAGACATGATAATCAATTTTGACGTTTGAATCACACTCGTAAACTTGTTACAATGTTGTAGAAAATTTATGACGACCTCATAAAAAGAAAACACCTTAAATGATTCAAATTTTCAAAGTTGGTTTAAAAATCAGATGTTAGTAAAACGTTAAACAATACAATTCACCTACAACGTCTATGGACTTGAATTTCATAAAATAAAGGCATAAATCGCGAAGCTTTATTGACAATTATGGCTTTTTTCTACGTGCCGGGTACTTTCTATTTTATGACCAATTTTGTTGAAGCCATTTGCGGCTTGTACTATCAAAATAAGCCTCGATGAAATCGGCGTTCTGGTAGATAAATTTTCTTGGCGGGAAAAAGAGAAGGACGACCACGTGGTGCCACTTGAATCGTCCCAAGATCCGGGAGGACCCGGATTTTGTAATTCAGCAGTGACTACATAAGGACTTCGACAATCGTGAAGGGTCTAAAACTGGTCTAGATTTATATATCATAACCGCTCTTATTAAAACTAATCGTAAAATTTAATATCGCCTCACGGTCGGCAAACCCGGTTACAGGATGATAAGAGAAGTGGGTGATTTAGCACGTTGATTAAGACAGATATTTTTGGAGTCTAATTTGGAGAGGGCAGGGCCTGGGAGAGGGTGTGTGCCTGCCCGGTTTAAACCATAAAGTGGAACAGATACACATTACGTCATGTGGTACACCTGGCCCCTTTTCTTTCAAATGAAAGAGCCCGACACACTATCCCTAACTGACAGACCTACTTCGCGTTGGTGCGACCCTGGAAGACAAATGACTTGACTGTTTATGGGTCAGAAAGGATACGCGCCCGGCCCTACGCCTGCCGTGACCACGGCTAGCTAGAAAAGGCAGGGGTGAACGGCTAGATGCCGTCACTTCAGTGTGAAATTCCCGTGGCCTGTCGCAAAACATTGCTCGCCATGGGAATTTCACAAGTGGTCAGGGGACACTCGTTTTTTGAAGTGCTGCTTTTTTTTTTAGGAATGGGCGGCCGGTAGGAAAACCGATCCTCTCTCTCCAATTTTCTTTAGAGAGAGCAAACTGCCTGTTGCCCGAATAAAAAGCGGTCCGAATTAGGCATCAAGTGTCAGTTTAATATCACCACATGAGTGTTTTTAGGAAGACAGACTACGTAACATGTTTAACAGAGGTACTGATCAAAATACCAACGTCAGGGATACGAACCAGAATGATATATAAGTATGAAATGGAGATATGGCCCGTGCCCCTTACCTGACACGTTCAGACCGCATATGGCAACGACGACCGCGCATACTGTAACTTGCCACCCCATTCTCTGCAAAAGGAGAGAAATTCGTTGAGAAATGCTATATAAAGAACGATTTCCATATAATTCAGCCAGCGTCGAGAGGGCGTGAGGGTTAGAACGGTGCGGCACGGGGGGCTCTTTAGAGCGCTGAGCTCTCAGGGGCCGGGCAAAGCGGTGACGTTAATCCGTTTACACACCAACTTGGTACCTCACTCTATCTTCCATTTTTCTTCTATCTAGGACTTGAAATAAAACAGCACATGCTCAACCGACAAGCCAGGCCGATACGCATGCTTTGGCACGTACAAAAAACGGTGGCAAGAAGGGTCTTTTTTCCCCTGCATTCATCCCGCCGAAAACACGTTAGGTACTCCGCATTGCACCCCTGTTACCGGTACCTCATCACGATTTCTAACCCGTCGTCTGTTCGGTAAAACACGGCATACCTGCAACCAAAACACCGTGACTGTGCGAGAACAAGTAGTGCCACTTACCAAATGTACCGGTACACACACACACACTCGCGATTCACAAACCGTAGGCTTCCCTCCCTCACTGTACCTTATTTGCTTTTTAGACTGTTTGTCAACCGAAGGGACTCATTTGTATAACATGAATGATGCATAAAGCTTGATCGATGCAATGCAAACAGAAGAAGAGCGCTGATTGGTCAGATTTCCAGAAAGGCTAGTCTACAACCGGACACATTGAGATACCTAAATGTTGTAGAAATGTGCCGAAGTAGCGAGAATAATTTGCCAGTAATAGCTGGTAATAGTTTTAGTTTTCAATCATTCAAAACTATTTCCTATTACTTTTTTGGTCAATAATTTATCCTATCTAGACATTTCCAAAATTTATAAATTTCCTTAGGAGTCTTAGTTGGAGGCTACCAAGATTACAGAGGGTGTGATGTGGTTGCCGGAATCATGCAAAATCATCCATCGCTGTTTCGTTGCAATGATGTTGTTTTATTCATCTAATATCATTGACTGCAATTAAAAGGCTTTTGTGGGTTACATTTGTGATTAGAGTAAGAATTTTTTTGTTGAAATAATGTACAACATGTATACAGTATAGGTGAAAACCCTCACACATCCCACACATCCGGGACACATCAGACGTCATCATCATGGGACAAACCGCAACGACACGCAATTAAAAATATAAACAAGTAACCATTATATCATAAATATGAGAACATTATCTACTATTTTTCACACTATACTTTTCTTAAGATAATTTAATATATTTTTTATATCTTTATCCTTTTTTTGCTTCATTTCTGTCTTCTTACTAATTATTTGTCGATGTTTGACACATTTGGTTGTATCATCATCACATGACGTAGACACCGGCACTGACAAGGGTATTTCTTCACAGGTGAGAAAGATTTCGCTAAATTCGTCCAATTTAAAGCATTATGGAAGTATAAGTTTAAAACCATTGCTTTTATTAAACTAAAAACAACATGATGGTACAAATCTGAGCCGGATGAATCGTCGTTTTACCGCCAAAATCTGTGAAAATGTGGGTGTGATCGGTGACCTAAAAAAATATGGAGGCTCATATGTTATACTAAGTAATTTTCTGTCATAGTTCAACATTTTTCTTAGTCCACGTGAGGAAATATAATTTACCACTACTTCTTTCTTGTAAAGACGATTTTGATATGTCTTCTGGAAACATCGCTTTGTCTAGAAAGTATGTATGGTTTTATAAGAATCCCTTATGATTTTGTAAATGTTTGTCATTAATTGTATGACCCTCACACTAGAAAAGGTGATATGCATATGGGAAAGAGGTTATAATATTTTGTCGTAATAAACCCCAATAGATAAATTGCATGATGTCTTTTATGATATAGTACTAGTAGATATTGACATGCCAGAGTTGTAACAGTGGGGTTCAAGTGCTGCTAACTGGTCCATTCCAATGGGTTCGGACCTTTTGGCATAGTGGTTAGCGTGCAGGTATCATAAGCTACCTGCCTGGGTTTGGCGCGGGTTTGATTCCCCGCATCCCGGGAGTCACGGTTTTACCTGTTTCTAGATTCTACTCGCTCCTGGCTGTTTCAGAGTCATCATTACAATATGATGTTGGGCATCAAAGATTGTTATCTGGGTTGAAAAGTTAGCGCCATGCTTCACATTGATTTGGGACTGTTTAGGATCACCTCTCACGCACATTCATATTAACTCTCAGAGCTGTCAGCTAATGTGTCACATATGGGACTATTACAACTTTGATGTCCATACACACTTCCTTCCATACAAATCAACAGGAACCCTACCAGAAATCCCATCAAAGATTTAGTACATCTGGCTTCTTAGATAGTGTTAGGATACATTTTGATTTGGCACCAGATTAAAGAAATCAGAAATACAGACATGTACTACTACACTATAAATATAATATAAGTTCTACAATTTTGGCTGAGACAAACATTCTTATCCTTTGAATCAGTTTGATATTATGTGATCACAGCTGGGGAGGAAGTCAAGAAAAGTCTGCTTGATCTTGATGCCAAAAATTTTTTTAGAAAATCTACATCTAAAACTTTTCTGTTCTATTTAAAGCTGTAAATGCATTGTTACACAGATTTTTAAAATGATTTTTCTACTTTCCACAAAGTGAAATCATAAAAGCTCAAAGACTACAATCATCAATGATTCAGTCGTACATTAAGTAAGGACAAGGATACATTTTTCTTTGAAGACAGAAGAAAGAAGGGAAAGTCAGCGTTCCTAGAACCTTCAGGTCACGGTCAAAATGTTTGCCAAGTTCATGCAACCTTCAGGGTCACCTTAAAAGCTGGCCAAGTTCATGGTCACCGTCACAAGTGTATCTACCAGATGTGTAGTTGACTGATGTTGATTGTAGCATATGGAAAAGTCCTTGAAGTCGGGGAGTGTTAAGCCTGACTTGTGAACTGTATCTGTTGTCAAAGTTAGAATGTTACATATGCTTGTGATCACAGATAAAACATGGCTGCACTGATACTTTACAGGTGACAGTTAAGTTCAAACAGGTGTATGAAGATTGAAAATAGGGACTTCTGTCTTCAAATAGTGTGTTTGGGTCTTAATGTTATTAAATATCACTGTTGCTATAGTTTATAAGTTTGCAAGTACCGGTAATACGCAGTAAGTCGATGCTACATAATATTATGATATTGTACATTAATTTTATATCTTGTTGATGCTAGTTGCAAAGAATAAAAAACTTGGACCACTAGAAAGATGTTCAGAACATGTCAGAACCTTTGTCTGCTTGGATTCCTGGAAATTGTCTGAAACAAGATATTCAAATAGTTAAACTGAGTAAAGTGAAACTTAGACGTAAATGTATTATTTTGATTATCAAAAACCTATAAAAACCTTTATCAATCAGTGTGAAAACATTGCCATGAAAGAAAACAAATATTAAACGGAGACCAGAATATTTTATTGCTTTTTTAAAAAAAATGACTGTAAATATCAATCTTCTTCAACATTTTCCAGGTAAAAAGAAGCGTATTTCACTGAAGGATCAGAAGAGCACTGCGAGGTCACCATGGGGTCACTGTTCCGCAGCGAAGAGATGACCCTGGCGCAGCTTTTCCTGCAGTCTGAGGCTGCGTACGCCTGCGTGTCGGAGCTGGGAGAGCTCGGATTGGTCCAGTTCAGAGATGTAAGTACGACATCAGTACTTGATAGCTTGGCATCCAAAACTATATAGGTCTATGTTGTGATACACTTCATTCTTGTTTTCAAGACTGAAACAGGAAACACAACATTTCTTTTCCTTGGCCTAACATAGTGACTATAATAGTGACCCTGTGTTTTGTATAAACTGACCTATTGTTCAAGGATTCAAATGATTTTGTGTGTATGGCAAATAAGACTATATTGTCCCAACAAAATATAGGAAACTTAAGATGTATTTGCCCAGTTAACAGAAAACTAAATTTCACTTCTAGTCTCTATTGACCTGTACTAGTACTAGTACTACTAGTTTTTTAGATGATATCTTGAAGTCCTTGCCTATGGATAATCCATAGCCAGCACAACTTTTGTTACTGATTGCCTATGCTAGCTTGATTAGTACCTATTTCATGCCTAGATTATATTGGGTATGGCCATACATACAAATGATTATATTGGGGCTCAAGATGTCAATTATTCATGATGAATATTAATTCCAATTTGACCTTTTTTAATTGGCTTAAGGCTGAGTAATGAATGCCATGCCATTAATTTTAATTTTATCAAATCTGCTGGATTAATGCAGACAAGTCAGCTGAGTGATTGTCAGAATTATTCATTTTCACATTTTGTACACTTCATTTATCAAAATATTGCAAATGTGGTATTTGTTGTCCTCGAAAGTACCTCAGAATTGTGTCCAGTTTCCTGTTTTAAGAATTACAGTTCAAACTACAGTATTGCTGTGTACAGGTTCAAGTCCAAGAAAACCTTAACCAGTTCCAGACTTGCCACATGTCACATTTCCTTTTCCACCTAAAGCCTTAAGCTTCCATTGATTGAGAAGTTTGTGCTGCAAAGTGAAGAAAACATTGCCATTGGGCATTGTCATGTGTCAACCTTATTGGGTCATATGTGGCCATAGACGTGTTGTGCAAACAATTATACATCTTCATTGCTTCTAAACTAGATGGTAGCACAGTGTGTACTACAAAATGTTAGCCAGCCAGTACATGCAATTTTGTATAATGGCATGGCTTTAGGTCTGGACCTAAACCTCTGGACTTGAATCCGGAGTCAATTTCATAATGACCTCTACCAACACAGTTGAACTTTGACGAACCTCAGTGGTTGTTATGCAGATTTTCTCTGCTTTACAGTGTTGCGAAGTGATTTTTGTTGTTCCATCCATGTTTGTGTTCTCCACAGCTGAATCCTGACGTCAACGCTTTCCAGCGGAAATTTGTCAATGAGGTGCGCCGGTGTGATGAGATGGAGAGAAAACTACGTAAGTCCACAAGTAAACTTTAGTATTACTAAAGTAATGGCATATGAATCTCATTTTGGTTGCTGAACAGTTTCCATCCAGTAGTAGAAAAGGGACCTAAGGGACAAGGAAATAAATGTACATTTTCCTATCATAAAAGTGCATGGTAGACAAGCAATCACTGCGCTGCCTATGAGGCAAAGAAAAGTGATTCTACCATAGAAAGCTTTTTTGGCCACGCAAACAAGTGATAATCCAGATTTGTATCCGGAATGGACCCTGCTCGGAATGGTACCAGAAATATCCCCTAAACGGTCTAAAAAAAAAAGCACCCAAATTCATCAAAGTAATTGGTTCCTTACTGTAGCCTAAGGTGTAGTGGGGTAATGCCGTAATACTGATAGGCAATACAGTTTATGCACTTGCACTCAGCTAATGCTCTTTGGGAATGATACTGGGTCCCAATACGAAGGATGGCAGTAGTAGTTGTATAGCAGTGGGAGAAAGAACCAGCAGGTAAAAGTTTAACACTTATGAAATATAGTGAATTTGAATTTTGCACTAAAAGGCTCAAAATAGTTTTTCTACAGTTTTCAACATTGAAAATTACCTGCACGGCAGACAAAATGTACCTGCACCACTCAGAATTTAGGCAGTATGGAGCATATTAAAACTGTTCAGCAACCATTGCTGTTCAACTACCATTGCTAACAGTCATTGTAGAAAATGAAAAACTCACATACTTTTTTATTTTATTTATTCAGTATATTTATTGAGCATTAGGCAAGAATTCGAAGCACAGTTGCTTATATGAGGTCTTCTACTCAAGTACATACATGTACATTGTGGCAGTGCACCTACATATAAACCTTGCTTGTACATGTACAATGGACCAATGCATGTTAGGTACAAGTAGACAACAGAGATACCTGCCCAGCTCATGCATACATGTATATACATTTTGTATATATGTCAGCATGGAGAATCTTATTTACGGATATTGAAGGGAGTGCATGTCTCCTTCCGTGCAGGATGCTGAAGCTACATGTACATCACAGTACATGTATGTGGAAAATTTAAAGTTCCACGATAATGACTTTGAAGCTCAGGTGGTGTCCATAGATACAGATTTGTGCCATCTCTTACAAACGATGCTCACTGATGAAGATGGCTCTCTCTGTGTTATCTTGTCTTATTACAGCAAATGGTCAGGGATAAGGATTGTGCAGGCTTGTATAGGCATGATTAGGCTATGGCTTCAGGAGGCGGTTGGCATGAATGTGAATTGGTTTGACTTGCACTTTATTGATTATCTAATTTAGATAAAAATCGTACATGTCATCAATGATCACTGAAAAGGTATTAGGTAATGCAGATAAAGAGGAATAAAAAATGGGTTAAATTTTTTGGAATACCCAGTACATGTATTCATTTATGCAATTCCTATATACACAGCTCCAATTTTACCTGCACTAACCTGCATTATTATGTTTTTATTTTGAGCCCTTAGAGTTAGACAGAACGTAGAACATCTAAAAATAAATACATAAAAAAGGTATATATATATATATATATAGATACAAGATATTGATGTAAAATGTAATAAACTGTTGTGATAGCTGTAAAGGATTTGGGCGTGTCTGTCCTAAATATGTTTCCCCTCATTAGCATTCTTGCCGAGTTTTCACTCAAGGGATAGCTCGTTAGTTGAAAAGGCCTTTGCCGTGTTGCTTGCCGAAAAGGTGCCCATAATTTATCCACAGAAAGGAATCGCATGATGCTAATGATGCCTGTGGTTCTTGGAGCAGCCAGTGGCAGTACTTACTTGTACTGTAGTCAACTTGTTGTGAAGAAACAGGTTTTAAGTAGTACTGCTCAGGTCTTTTGAGTAGTTCCATCCATGGATTCTGTTGAAGAAACAGGTTTTAAGTAGTACTGCTCAGGTCTTTTGAGTAGTTCCATCCATGGATTCCTCATATAGTGTGGCTTCTTGGCACAGCCAGCCTTAGGCCTAGAAAAAAAAAAATTGTGTTTCTTGTCTCCGTCTTGAAAAAATTTGGGTCGGCAGGTAGGGATTATCTTTTTTTTTTTTCTTTTTCTATTAGACTTTGGCCTCTCTGTTGATCAAACCTATACAAATTATTATATTTTAACAAAGTAAAACTTGCATTGAGAATAATGGCAGATATGTGTCATTCATTGTTTAATCTGAAAGTATATTTGTTTTAATAACATTATTATATGTAACAGAAACTATTGAATTGCTATATAGAAGTCATCTAAAAACTGGAAACGATGCCTGATTCCAGTCTCCCCCTCAGCCTTAAATGCATGCTGTAATATTTCATTCCCACTCAAGTTCTTTTCCTTAAGCCTATTATCTGTCACTGGGATAACGAGAAGCACTTAATTATAATCTACTGTGTAGAAAATACACTTTCTTCTTACCATGAAGGTCCATAGGTGGGCCTCATGGGTTTTCTGTGCCATAACGCACCAGCTAACGACTCCATCAGACAATTGGCATAAGCTTCAAGTATTGGAATTGTGCCAAGAACACATTATCTATTGACCACCGTTGTGATGCCATAGCATTAGCCTTTTTGTCTCCAAATCTCTTAAATGAAAAAATTCAGACACTGTCAGCTGTAAATAATAAGAGATACCCAAGATGGTTGATAGCCAAGATGCTCATAATCGTAGAAATACTTTTTTTTGCAGTGTTCTGCAATACTGCAGAATGTTACAATTTTGTTCTGCAATTTGGAAATACTTTCTGCAAATAAACAGTCTGGATCTAAACCCATGGCAGTACAAATTGCATGTTGGCAAACATGATTTTATATGCAATTTGAAAAATACATGCAGTCAGTAATAACCCAAAAGCTTAGTTTAAATACCATTGAACCAATATCCTGATTTTTTTCAGTCTGCAAAATTGCAGGTTGCTTAATTTTTCTTCTGCAATATTGAAAATGTCTCTGCAGATGTGTATTTTTAACACTGATCATAAATGTAGAATGACAGTTCTTTATTTGGGTGTACGAGTTTCTAGCAGGTCTTAGTATTTAAGCATGGTTCAGGTAATGATCAAGGGCAGTGATGAATTGTATACTGATCAATAGTGCCAGGCCGCAAACGCTCAGGGAAATTCAGACGTTTTACGAGGCCCGCGCAAAAAAGGCAAGCGTTTCCCATCAAAATGATTTTGTTTCTCATCAGATTTGCCATAGCTGAGCTGTTTAGATTGAAATCTTCTGCTTAAAGATTTGTATTTAGGCCTTTGGAAAAAAATGTTGTGTTTTCTGTTTCCCAACTGACCCTAGAATTGTAGAAAAAAGTGTGAACCCTAGCCTTTTTGGGGGCAAGGAACGTAGGTTTGAATATTTCAAGCTGATCGACCTTTCTAGCACTACGATCTGACATGTTGAGTGATAAAATGGTTTTCCAACATTGACACTGAATATTAGTGTCAGTTTTCCTTTAATAAACTGTAATGTTTAAGTTGCATCACAAGTTGGATCACTAGAGATTGCCAAAGTCTAATAAAACAAAGGAAGAAAAAAAAAGATACATTGTGTAATCCCTACCTTCCAACCCTAATTTTTTCCAGACTGAAACAGGAAACACCTAGGCCAAAGCCTATTGCATATAGGGATGCATCAATGATTTAGATGTTTTTATTAAATTGCCATAGGTGCAGAATTTTCCATCCAGTGCCACTGTTAAGAGCAATGCATGGTTAATGTAGTGTAGATTTTCCAAACTGCCATGTTTAATTTTTGCTACTATCAATTTTGCCTGCTCTGTGTTCTGTCTTGTCGTCTTATACTTGACCTTTCATTCCTCAGAATCAGAACTGTTTTCTTAAAATCATTGATATATAAAAGCTGTACTGTATTTTGTACAGTCTAGGCAGCAAGTTGTATTTTATGGCGTCTGAAAATGTTTTATGCATGTCTAATTAAGGAAGGCAATCAAGAGATGGTAACTTTATCTGTTGGAAAATAGCTTGATGAGAGCATACATGTAGCTTTATAGCATGGGTGTGCTTAGCGCTCGTAAAAACCAGTAAAACTGGGCCACATCCATGTATGGTTAGCAGCTGTATCCCGTGGATTTCGGTTGGCAATGTAGACTGGTGCCTTTGATTTAATCGAGTGGGTGTCGCTGGAAGACTATGTCCAGACTATGCATGATGTATAAAATGACTAATAGACTGGTGGACGTACCAATCACTTAAGTATCTGATAACAGCTCAGAAAAGAACAAGAAACAATCATGCTTTCAAAATTCAAATATCAGAGTTATTAACCAAGAATTGAGTTGTTCAGTAACTCACATTTTCCAAACTATTTTAGAGTAGAACTTGTTGCCACCAACCACTAGAAAGCTTTAAACAACTCCTCCAATCAAGCAATGTGCAAAGATTGGGTGTAACAGGTCGTTTGGTGTAATATACATGTAGCTAGCTGCTGCCGCGCCGCATGCCTGCGAATTTGAAGCTGGTATATTATGCCGAAGGGCGGTTATACCGGCGATACATTGGATCACTAGAGATTGCCAAAGTCTATTTGAAAAAAAATATAAGAAAAGAAAGATACATGTACATGTACATGTACCTACCGACCCTAATTTTTTCAGGACTGAAACAGGAAAAACAGTTTTTTTTCTTACGCCTCAGACTATTTTGTTGGACCTCCTCATGAGCTCATCAAGTCCTGTCAGCCAGAGTCAGTGACTTTGCACTTGAACATGAACAGAAAAACCCCTGCCTTTTGTCACGCAGTTCCTTCCCAGTCCTTCTTCTGACAAAGACGTGGTGACTGTTTTTGTGTGGAGAGGACTGAGGAAGAATGGAGGCCTGTAGGGTCGGGATTAGGGTTACCAAGGGTCACTTGTGGTTTAAAGACAGGCAAATACAGCTTGTTGCACAATGGAGCTTAAGGAAAAGCCAAGTTGGGTGTAGCTTTTACAGAGCCACAAGAAGCTTGTGCAAGAGAATTTGTTGAAACCAGATTGTTAGAGAAAAGAAGGCTGTGAAAGGGACTTTGTTGAGACCGGATTGTACATAATGATTAGAAGGTTGTTAAAGGGACTTTGTTAATGCCAGATTCTACATAATGATAAGAAGGTTGTGAAAGGGAATTTGTTAAAGCCAGATTGTACATTAGGGAAAAGAAGGCTGTGAAAGGGAATTTGCTGAAGCCCGATTGTACATTAGTGAAAAGAAGGTTGTAAAAGGGAATTTGTTGAAACTGGATTATACTATATATGCATATTACTTTATCCAAATATTTTCAACCTATCTATTATCAGAACATGATGCCAAATATTTTCAACCTATCTATTATCAGAACATGATGCCCATGGATGATTGATTGATAATATAATTTAGATATCTCCCATACAATCTTGTTAGATTGTTGATAATATTTTTGAAATCTTGAAAACTGACCATTTAATATACATCATTACATGTATGTATGTTTTTTGTCCCAGGATTCCTTGAGAAGGAGATTCGGAAGGCGGGCATTCCCATTGTGGACACGGGGGAGAACCCTGACGCCCCCCCTCCCCGAGAAATGATCGATCTGGAGGTAAGGATGAAGCAGATTATACTATATTATACTATATGATAAATAGCAACTGAACTGAATATGATAAAGAATTATACTATGTCATGCACGTAAGGCCTAGGAAAAAATGTTCCCGTTTCCCGACACCGCAGAAATAAAATGAATTTACAGTAACTGTTGAGTACTTTGTAATTGTCTCAGGTACTTTATTTTTATGTTCACTTTTATAGGTTCTCAAATGTGCCGACTTAAAGAAATTTGCATACACTGTAACTTAGATAAATGAAGCATTACATCATAGAGTCAACTATTGAGGGTACTTTAAGATTAACAGTAACCACAATATTTTCTGTTAAATTAGATATTATTATGACTTTGTAATGAGTCTAGCTACATGTATGTATAGCATATGTACAATGTATGTAGCATCACTAATTATTAAGTTTAGAATAATTACATGTACATGTGTGAGCCCAAACATGTATATGACGTGTATATTAACTAGTCTTACTACTATTTTAAAATATAGCAGAATTGTAGTATACTGATATTACAATTTGTTTCCCTTGGGTCCTCATTATAAACTGGACTACATGTAGCTATGGTTATTGGCTCTATGGATCAAGCAATAAAAGCTTGTGGTCGTTTTTTTTCTTACTTATAGTCGGAGAGGTTTTTTATGTGTCTTTTGGAATTGCCCATTTGTAGTGAATCAAGTGCCGGTATGGTTTCACATAACTATGAGTGAGGAAAATGTGAATTCATATACCTTAGCGTGTGTTTGAAAAAAGTATATTTTGTGTACATTTTTTTCGTCAGGTTATATTTACATGTAGCAGTGAGACTGTACTCACTATTTTGAGGAAATTGTGTATAATTCAATTAGTCTTAGAATATTTTCAGGATTTTTTTTGGTGGCGTCGCAAGAAAATCATGATTTTTTTAGGACAATTCTATTATAGAGTACTACAGAAACGTCAGAAAGTCAGTAACTGTATTATACATGTAGAATTATTTCAACTGAGAAGATAAAACAGTTCCAATATTATTCCTTATTCTTGCCAATTAACAGTGGCAGACAGGGAAATTGACTGGCATATGCTTGTGGCACGGTTCGATTAACTAAATTTTTCCTCATTTTTTTTTATGTCTAAATAATCATATCACCTTCCATTTCTCAAGTACTTTCCTGTCTTACAAAAAGGATTGTGCTGTTTTCCCTAATGCAACTGTATATATTGTCCGTGACAGAAAACCTACCAAAAGAATTACCTGTTTCATCTTATGTTTCACTTTTAGTCAACCTTATGAAAATTTTTGGGTAATGGTCTTTGCAGGCTATTTAATCTATCATAATGCTTTGAATTTGTACTTAATTGAGATGCTCTTTCAATGAAGATTAAACTAGAGAAATTTTATGCAGTCCTTTCCCAATAAAACATTCAGTATTTTTCCAGTAAGCCAGCTAATGGAAAACAGAAATTTCCGTTAAAAATGTATTTTCCCTTGGGGACAATAAAAATGTTGCCCATTAATGCAATATCACAACAGGGGCCATATTGATCTTGTTGGGTTCATTTTTGTCAGAATTAGGCAATATCAAAATTCTCATCCATCAAATGTTGACCGACTTTCTGACAAGACCAATTTCAAAATATCATGTTTGAGACCAGGTGCATTAAATATATCTAGGCCATACCGTAGTGCGAATATCATTAATAACAATTTCCTTGGTTGAAATTTTCTGAGGAGTAAATTATTGCAATAAGGCAGAGAAAATATGAATCATATTATGGATAAAATATTTTCTGGTTACTTGTATATACAACAGTAACTGTATGGTTTTAGAAAGAGTAAATTAGTAAGTCAATGTTTAATTTTCTTATATCAAATTCATAGGTTTTTTCCATTTTTTTTTACTTTGAACACCCTTAAGTATTGTATTTGGCTTGCCTGTGTGTTGGTCTGTCCGTGTGTCTGTGTTTCTGTAATTCAATGCAGCAGCATCATACATTGTCAAGGTTCTATTTTGTGTGAATCTGTGGAACTACAGTGTAGAAGGGGGTGAAGTCTACCATCTCCAGTTATCTTGCTTGTAATTGTTAGGCCTTTACCAGAAGTCTTTTGCATCTTTTGAAATGTCACATCATTGTCTTAGCTACAATTTTTTTCAAGCTATCGGTACTTAAAAAAAGGATAATGCTTTACCTCAGTTGGGGATGACCACTCAAATTACTTCTACTTTTTTTCAGGCCACGTTTGAGAAGCTGGAGAATGAAATGAAGGAGGTGAACACCAACCAGGAGGCCCTGAAGCGTAACTTCTTGGAGCTGACGGAGCTCAAACACATCCTGCGCAAGACACAGAGCTTCTTCGAGGAGGTGTGTGTCCATCTATAGTGTCACACATTGCAAGATTGCAGTAGATACCATTCCCAGTTCAAAACTTCATCAATAATTTGGAATATTGGTATTATTTCGACTCCTTCAAGTGAAAATATCAGTAATTTTCTTAAAAGTTATAAATTCAATATTACAATACACATCCAAAATAGTTTCATCAGGTTGGTAAAGTATAGGGTACAGGAGTTTTCTTTTACACAACCAAGATATATTGTAGTTTACCTCGCTGATGTTTCGGTGTCTACTAGAACCTTCTTCAGAGCTTCTGACTGGACACATAGCAGCGAGAAGCAGAACTCCAGTCAGAAGCTCTGAGGAAGGTGTCTGATAGACACGGAAATGTCAGCACTTAGGTGAGAAATCTTGGTTGTGTAAAAGAAAACTCCTTTTTTTGCACTATTGTTAAAAATTATTACAGAGTCTCAAGTTGAAGCATTGTAACAGTTGTAGAGTTATCAGAAAATGAATTTTTTTATGGAAAAATTAGTAGCATGTTAATTGTAGTGATTATTTTGGATAGAAAGAGTTACACAAATGTATCTGCATATATTTGTAGAAAGAATTGTAGGTGCTTGGAATGATCTACTATCCTTACCCCAATATTCATCCCTGATGGAATGGAATAATCTGCTATGCTTACAAGCTTCTTTCTCTATTACATCATAATGTTTGTTGCTTTTTTTTTTATTAACATCCAAAGCAGGAGTTACGAACTTGGTGTGCTGACATACATTTTGTATCTTACATAGCTTCATAATTTGCAGGCTTTAACTAACATTTTTGCTTTCTAAGGTTTTTATTAACTGCCTGGGTAGATGACATGTACATGTTTATGATATTTACAACTTTTTGTTTGTTTTCTTCTTTTGTGGTTTTGCATATTTGTGGTGTAATTTTGCGATACATTGTCATGTTACTGTGCTCCAGGTATTGTTTTGTTATGTTGGAAGTGTGCACAGAAATCACTCTTAATTTTATAACTTAGTAATATCAACTCTCATAATTCTGCAGGTACTCTTAGACTGCCACATTTAAAAAGGGATCAAAATGGTTTGACAATGCACTAAAATATCTGAGTAATCATGAGGTCAGATATCTAGGTGTTCAAGACATCCTTAAGTCAAGACCTGTTTTTGTTAATGTGGCAGCCATGGGGTACCTACATGTAGTACATGTACATGCATAACTATGAGATTTGATGTTACTTTAGAATAGAAGCAAGTTCTTAAATGAAAGACCTTTTAATTTGGAGCACAGTAAAACTGCCAACTATGGCGAATATCAAAATGATGATTGCACTTTTATGATCCTTTATTAATGTGGAGAAAAGTTGTTTTGGTGTTTCTATATGTTTTTTTTCTTTTCCATGAGTCCTGGCTGTCTGTAGTCCTCCCTAACTCCTTCTTTCCATCCCTCCCTCCCCCACACTGCATGATGTGGGATAGTAGATTGTAACCACACCGTTTTGTTTGTTTGTTTCCATGGTAATTTTATGTTTCCCTGGCAACGGTTGGTTGGCTACGCTCGCTTCCTGATCAGGCTGAATTCCATCATCAGATGCAGGATCCGGCGCTGGCGGAGGAATCCCACGCTCTGTTGCTAGGCGATGAGGAACGCGGCGGGCAGCCCATGCGCCTTGGGTTAGTACATCTCTGGGGGTTGTTCTGGCGTAGGAAAAAAAAATGTTGTGTTTCCTGACTGACCCTAAGAAAACCTGTTGACCCTAGACTTTCTTGGGGGTGGACCAACCTTTTTTGGCAATTGGTTTTCTAACATTGAGATTGACATTGAAAACAAAAGTGTCCCCATGCAAGTTTTACTTTGTTAAACAGTTGGACTCTTATGTAGATATCACTGAAGTCTAAAAAAAAAAGAATAAAAAAAGAGAAAAAAAAGGGGAAAAAAGGTAATCCCTACCTACTGACCCTAATTTTTTCAGGACTGAAACAGGAAACACAACATTTATTTCCTAGGCCTCTCTATCTGTTTAAGGTTGTTTTGATTTTTCTTTGTGTGTGCTTTGGTGCGTAGGAATCTGCCAGGGTGGAGGACACACAGATCCTGATACACGCAGAACACTTGCCTGATACCCAGCCCATGAGACTGGGGTCAGTAGACAAAATATTCTTCTGATTTTTTCTTTCTCTTATTTGATCTCTTGTGATTTTTTTTCTTAGGCCACAGCAAGTAAATTTCATGGATGACATCCTCTGCAGATCCCATATCTAATGCAATAGAGCAAAAAAAGCAAGATTCCAACATTTTGACATCGTAAACTTGTTAAACAAGAACGATACCTATACTGTGCTAACTATATAACATCCATTTCTCTCTGAAACAACTTTGAAAAATAAAAGTTTTTAGTCATTCTATAAAATTTAATGGTTTTGATTCAGTAGTGGGAACATCTCATATACACGGCCACCATCACATATAAAAGGAATGAAATACTTCACTGCATCAAGGTAAAAGACAAACTAAATCAGAGCCTTGTCTTGTCTCCTGTCTTCATACGTATTTACACAATAACGTCATGTATCTGCCATCCATGTTCTGGCATGGCAATAGACATAAATGCATTTGCCCATTTTCAGCATGTTGACCAATGTCAGAGGACAACAAAATTTCTTGTTTTTTCCCCCCAAAAACAGGCAAAAATTAATGCGTGCGCTGATGTCATCCATAAAAATTACTTGCTGTGGCTTTACTCATGATCTCCAAGCAAATGTTGGTAGACAAAATTGTTACGTTTTCCCAGCTGCTCGTTTCTGTTAAAAACTGCCTCAACTGAAAAGTGAGGAAAGCATAGGTTTTGCTTCCCAACATCTGCTTGGTGATTAGTTTTTCTTTACCCTTCATGATTATTCACATCTGACCATGTCAGCATTTCAATTGCTAAATCATATTAAAGTTGAAAGATTATGATGATACCAAATACAATTATCTTTCTGTAATTTCAAGTCTAAGTCATAATCATCATCATAAATCTAAATGAGTTGAATTAGGTCATGGCCCTTTAGACAGGTTTGGATTTGTTTTACATATTGTGGCAAAACAACATTGCATGCCAAAAAAAGACTTTGATTGACTAATAAACAGTTACACAGTGTACAAAACACTTTTTTGAACGGCAAAAATTAGGTTGCCCATTAGAATTTTAGGTTGCCCCACCTATAACTTACTACTTTCCTCAAATTAAGTAATGTTACATACATGTACATAAGCCTTTGACAATATTTCTAACAGCCTTCAGTTAACTGATACTAGTAATAGCCATTAATACCTAAAATTAAAAAGCATCTGCTGGATACAGTGGTGCAAGTGTGCATGATTTGGGCAACCAGGTATTTTGCCAGGTGGTTACACTATTTGTCTATCTTGACAATTTTATAATGAAATGACAAGGGCAAACATTAATTTCTGTAAATGCCCAAGACATTGACACCAATGGAAGAAGATTGCAGTGTTAAAAATATCCGCACATTTGAGTTTGACCTGCTACATACATTTTTGTATGTCCAATTTTTCAAATTCAAAATGGTTGCCGTTACATTTAACATATTGAGATGCTGACATAGTACAGATGTACACATTAATTTGCTTCCAACAAGTGAAGAATTATCTGTGCATGGATGTCTGACAAGTCAGACATATTAACCTTTTCAAGCCCTAACCTAATGCTGCTTGGTGATAAACTCCATTCTATATCAGTACCTCTGGACTGCGTTATTGATAATCAACTGTGAAAGGTGAGGTGCATCTGGGTATGTTTACGATTGAATTCCATCTTGTCAAATGAGCCAAGTAACTGCAGATTTAGGATACATTTATTTTACATTTTGTACATTCAAAACTCCCAAGAAGACCACTTTAACTATAGGGGACCAATAAAGTCTGGTCTATGTGGACTGGTGGTCACTTATTTTAATTATACAGGTTTCAATTCTTGTATCAATGGGGAAAATTATCCAAGGGACCATCAAGAAGTGGTCACATTGGCCAGGTGGTCCTTAAGTGCAGGTGTGACTGTATATGAATGGCCAGGTGGTCCTTATGTAGAGGTGGTTATTATTAGTATATTACAGGTTTGACTGTATTTTAATTACAATGAAATGTGAGAACATCAATGTCATGTCTTCCTTTTGAGTAGTAACCATGTTGTCTTATGTAGAAGTCTAAATAAGAAGTCAAGCTGAGGGGTCAATTTAGTTCTATTTTTTAATGCCAAGCCTGCAAGTAACATGGAAAACTACCTGCACCATACAAATCAAATATAACTCTAACAGTAAGAAAAGGCTGTGACAACCACGTACGTACTACGTGACATAAAAGATACAATGTACCTGCACAGTTCCAATTTACCTGCAAAATTATGCAGGTGGTATTTTTCACCAAATGAACAATTATATTTATGTATTAAAATTTTCTAGGTACATAAGAACAATAAAAAACCCATGTTCTTGTGACAAATTCTCCTCAACCTTACATTATTGTCATGTACATAGAGTTGACATGAGCACCAACTGGCTTTTCATGTTAAAAAAAAATAATCCTATGACTGTTCCTGATCCTCCCCTTGGAAATACAGATAACATGATTACACAGTCATGTTTAATTCCATTAGATGTCATTTGATGTGATAAGATCATAGCTGCACTTCAGAACCTAGGTCATGGTGCCTGCAGACATAATTAGATTTCCCTTCAGTTGAACAGATCATCTTCCTTTCTGCTGCACTATCTTCCTGCCATTATAGATATGTGGATAGCAAATGCTTTTTGATTTTAATGTCTAAATATTTTGAAATACGTCATATACACGAGTCTATCATCTTCTACATGTATATACCACCCCTGGATTTACTGATCAATGGACTTGGATAGAAAATCTAAGTACATACATGTAGTGACATGTGACATCCCTTACATTTACATGTAGGATAAAATATATTGAACAATGTGTAGTGTCTAGATGTTAGAAATTCCTCCTACAATATTAAAGGCCCATTCTAATCCCGTACGGCATACTCTTGTATTAAGTACATTTAGCCTTATTGAACTGCAGTACTGTTATGTACCAGTAGATGGCATACTTTGTACCTTGTACTATTGTTGTACAATGAATAAACACATAAACCCTCATAATTTTGACAGTTACCCTAGGCTAATTGCAGCAACAGTAAATTTCTGAGGTACAGTATGCACTCTCCAGATATCCAGGTGTTAGACATTTTTGATAAGGCTCTCCTGAAATGTTCCATTGTGAAATAGATAAACCAACAGTCTCCAAAGACTAGAATATTGCATGGCCAATTTTCTGCTACATTTAATCATGATTCTGTACAGTGGAAGATAAGTTTCATTTTGTAATGCCTTGCCCTATTACATGTATAGTGAAGAAAGAAAATCATAAATACATTCGTAGTGTATTGTCCATGTCCTACATGTACATGTACATCCTATATACATTTTTGTAGGTCACCATATGTACAAATGTATGTAATACATTAAATTTTCAAAATCAAAAACAAGACAAAATTCTAAAATACAAGGCTATTCCCTCATAAAAGCTATTAAAAGTTACCGGGTATACTCAGACAATAAAAGTATGTAATACTAAAAATTGTTTCAAAAATATGATATAATTATTTCTTTATACTTAATTAAGAAATGGTAACAGCCATTGCAGCAAATAAAAATCCACATTCATGTAATAATAAACCCAGTACATGGACCAGTGCAGGTACATGTACACATCAGAAATACCTGCACAGCCCCAATTTTACCTGCACTAAGGTGCATATGCTGTGATTACGCAGTAGTGTGTGAAAGTTGTTTTCTTGTTTGCCATACATTTGTACTGTATATTTATTGTGCTGAAAAGTTCATTCCTTCATTTACATACAGATTTGTAGCTGGCGTGATCAACCGGGAGCGTCTGCCGACGTTTGAGCGCATGCTGTGGCGGGCTTGTCGCGGGAACGTGTTTCTCCGTCAGACCGAGATCGAGACTCCCCTGGAAGATCCCGTCACGGTATGATCCCTTCTCTACCTTCCAAAATTCTTTTATCTCACAATAAAACACTGAAGTTTTAATTCAAGGTTTTTAAGGCAAATTTTTCTTAGGAGAAAAGACTGCCAGTGGTCTTGCCAACAATAACAGAAGTTTCTTTATAACCGATTCTCAAGAACATACGATTCATACGCAATTGCCACAATCATGATGAGAGAAGGTGCAATACTCATATTAATTTTGATTCAATTTGCAATTTTTGCTTTTCCAGGGTGACCAGGTGCACAAGTGTGTCTTCATCATCTTCTTCCAAGGAGATCAGCTCAAGACACGTGTCAAGAAGATCTGCGAGGGGTGCGTTATCTACTGAACCATTCCTTGACAAACCATGTATCATTAGCTCCATACATGTATGTTTGTACATATACAACTGCCTCAAAAAGCAAGATTAGAAGTTGAACCTGTAAATAGTAGTTTACATTGGTATGTATAGTTTAAATAAGATACATGTACATGTACATATGTATTACAGTAACTGTAATTTTTTCCTGTACTGGAATTCTTTCCTGTTTATTCATGACCAGGACCTGTACTTAGCTTGTAAGAGCATAAACATACAATAAAGGTCTTTCATTTAGTAATCATACAATGAAGTGTAAGCTTTTGACAGGGCTTATTGCAAAGTTTTCTAAGAAATTAAGACATGATGATGTATATGTATATATGGTATTGACAACCATCCGTTGTCCAACAGATTCCGTGCTACGCTGTACCCATGTCCGGAGACGCCCGCCGAGCGTAGGGAGATGGCCATCGGAGTCATGACACGTATCGAAGACCTACAAACGGTAAGCATGACGCTTTCTCGTGGTCATAGAGTTAGCGCTAAGTTCAAGAAAGGAACTCGCCATAAATTTTCGGTCCATCTTGTTAGCTCTATTGTCAGATGCTTGATGCACTCGCTGACTATTCTGAAGTCGGAAGCGTGATGATGTCAGGAGATATGTTTGGGAGAGCTAAACACGTTTAAGAACCCACCACACTTATTGAAAAAAAGTAGGGGTCCTTCCCGGTGTGAGCGGTTCAAACCTTACAGTCCGGCCTTATGCAGCTTGTACTTACATGTACAAAACTGGTGTGTTACGCCTAAAGAGGCGATTTACTGGTTAAAACGAAACAAAAACAAATAGTCCACCGCTCCTTTGACGTCACGTTATCTCCATTATTTGCACAGGTGTTGAACCAGACGCAGGACCACCGTCACCGCGTGCTGGTCTCTGCGGCCAAGAACATCCGGGTGTGGTTCATCAAGGCTCGTAAGATCAAGGCCATCTACCACACCCTCAACCTGTTCAACCTGGACGTGACACAGAAGTGTCTGATCGCCGAGTGCTGGTGCCCCGTGGCCGATCTGGAGAGGATCCAGCTGGCACTGAGACGCGGAACGGTTCGTTTTTTTTTGTTGTTGTTTGGCATAGAGTAAAAAACAGGGCTTTTTTCTGCATGCCTGCACCTGTTTGAACCATTTTTATTCACAAAAAGGCCTCCAGGCTGGTTTTCATTGAGGTCAGAAGGAAAGAGATAAGGGTCATAAGGGTAAAAAATATATCAAAAAGATAATTAAAAGTTTATACCTGGTGCAGATGACATTGAAAATTACCTGCACCAGACAAATTTTACCTGCACCACTCAGAATTTAGGAATTATAGATCATACTAAAACTGTTCAGAAACCATTTTCCATTAGATGGTAACAGCCAATGTAGCAAATAAAGATCCACATACCCTAGATGTATATAATACATGTATATAACTCAAAAATGGATTTTTATATGTATTACTCATTCCAGGAAGGTCTGAATGGCTGTTTTGTATTATCTGTTCAAAAACTATTGCCATGAGGTGGTAACAGCCAATGCAGCCAATAAAAATCAAGAGTCAAGAATGGATTTTGATATCCTGTTCCAAGAAGTTCTAGATCTACATGTAAATGGCTGTTTTATATATCTGTTGTACATTGTTACAGGAGCATAGTGGTTCCAGTGTTCCCTCCATCCTGAACCGTATGACCACCAAGCAGGCCCCACCGACCTACCACAAAACCAACAAGTTCACGTCAGGATTCCAGGCACTGGTGGATTCCTATGGAGTGGCCAGCTACTGCGAAGTCAACCCTGGTACGATATCCATTTTTATGTTTGGGCCCTGATAACGTTCCATACGGATGTCCAGGCCCGTGTGATAACTAGCCATATCACGGGCTGATGTGGTTGCAATTTTTTGTTCTTAGGACACTAAATTTGCTCAACTTTTGGCAAATTTCGCACTACCAGGCTTCAGAAGCGGCCGGAAAGAATAAAAAGTGGCCAGATATACAGTTAACATGTCAGGGGGGTTAGTCCGCTAAAGGAGTACACTTTGGCACTCTACCTGGGCCACCTCTTAAACTGTACACGATTACGGAAACACCATATGGCGAGGAAAGATTGCCACAGTGTGTTCATTATACATGGTCACCACCAATTGTCCATCCCGGCCGATAGCAATGCCAAACGGCTCTTTAACCTCAACCACGGTACGGACAAACTCAACCGACTTCCCGCGCCTTGCGAACATGTCTACCCTGTTGCTCAACCAGTTTGCGATGATGAAGTTACCCGACTTGTCTGTATAGATACCCTGGGGAGAATTCAGTTGACCTTTGCGTTTGCCATCTTTTCCAAACCTAAAGAGCCGATTCCCAGCTTGACTGTATGCATAAACTCTGCTACTCATGAGATCTGTAAATAATATATTTCCTTCATTATCCGTGGAAATAAAGAGGGCTTGACGTGCCTTGAATGATTTTGGTTTGGAGGACCCGTCTGGAGAGAGGATGTGGATGTCAGTGGCAGCGGCCACAATGACTTTGTTGTTCACAGCGTCGAAAGCAATGCTGGGAGGGTAGCCTTTAATGTTTTGTAGCAAGTACTTGTTGCTAGAATCTGGCCGACCTGCTCGACTGTACTTGACCACATATCCACGATTACGATCAGACTTCCCAGCATGGGAACCTGCTACCCACACATGTCCCTTTCCATCTATGGCTATATCCGTAGGGCGCATTACCCCTCCGTTTTCTCTGGGTACTGTCGCTGGGAAGAGGCGGAGAAATTTCCCGTCCATGTTGAAGACCTGGACTCGCCTGTTCATTGAATCAGCCACAAATATTTCATTGCGTGCAGACACGGCCACTCCACGAGGCTTTTTAAACTTTCCACGGCCTTTTCCCGTTCCCCCGAAGATGACCTTCTTTGCTCGAGACTTCACGATTCCGCCACGGTTTTCTGTAACCAGTGATCAAAGCCCCTGTCACACATATCCGAATACGGCCTCCTGAACACTAGCCGAACTCCCCCCAACCATGGTTAGGAGTAGGTCGACTGGTGTTTAGCCAGCCAAGTCGGCTTCTGTTTCACTGCACCAGCCAAATGTTTCAAAACTTTTAAACATTCAGGTATGGACTGGAGGTTTGGCCATGGTTGGCTGGTGTTCAGGATCGGAGTAGATGTAGGCCGGGGCATGGTTTGCAGTCAAATTTGACTCAAATTTAACTCAAATTAGATATGATTTGTATTGAAAGGTAGACTTGGCCTTAATATGGTCAGGCTGCTCCCAAACTTGAGCCCACTTTGGTCGGCTGGTGTTCTGGGCAAAGTTCTGAATGTGTAAAGAGCTTATGGGAGCTGTCATACAATCATGTAATCATCATTAGATTTAACACTGCCTTTTTATGCTTAAGGTAGCTGAATTTCCTACAACCCATGTGCAACTATCCAAAATCATAGTTTGTGATCGTGAAATGTGACAATAAAATAACCAAAAGTATTATGTGGCCCTGAAATTTATCGTTTAAAACCATAATAGTAGATTTTCCTTTTGCAAAATCAGCTATCAAGATTTGACATTCACCGAGTTAGGTAGGAATTTTGTGCACCCAGTCACTTAGGAGTATATGCTTAAATATCTTTGACAAGATCAGATTCTACATGTATTGTTGAGAGACACAATACCTTTATGAGTGGATGATTTTGGTGTAACAACGTCTGTTCGGTGGGAAGAGGCAATGGTTCTGGTGCTAGTAATTTCCAGTTCTGGTCTGGTTGTGTCGGGGAGCATCGTTGTTTGGTGGAAGGACATCTTTGCTAAGGTCGAGGTTTGAGTCTCTGTCATCTCTGCAGAAAATTAATAATAAAATAATAACACATTTAGATAGTAACTAAGATTCATGCAGTAACTCTATGTACTAGGCTACTGTAATGTAAGGAATTCTAGATCCCCATTATATTACTCATTCACTCACTCAAGAAGTAGTGGCATATTACTCAAGGGTGCCCAAAATTACTACAGGTAAAAAACTAACATAAAGTGACCCAGTGTATACATGTACATGTATATACTTTCACCTCCCTTCATTCTAACCATTTTGGTACTAAGTTCACTCACCTTGTGAGCTGGTGGAGGTTGGTGACAGTGTGGCCTCTCGCAAGTTCTTGGACGTTGATTTAACAGATGATGTTGTACCTCCAAAGTAACCTTTTTTGGTCACAGTCTGTGATAACATGGAAATTTATGGAGATATCAGCTTTGCTCTTCTCATATGGCACTGCTTTCTGTATGTGAAAATTATGTAATGTGGCTGTACATGTGTGGCTCGGCATAGTGAGACTAATGATTGCACACCTGTAATGTCATGATCACACTACGGTCGCTACAAAATGTAGGTATCCTTGTTCTGGGCAGCAAGGCACCTGCAAAAACAGGGCCCCCTGTGCAACTTTTCCCTTTTTTCGTAATACAACATTTTCTTCATCATCTGCATCAAAAATAGTGTAACTCAATGAACATAAAGATTGACACTACAGATACACCCTTTTGAAGGTATAATTGAACCATAAAAAATCATACTTCTAGCTCAGCCCAGCTTTTTATTCCTGCCACATGGTAATTCAATCAATTATAGAAATTCACCAAATAGAAACTTTAACAATAAACATTCACCGTAGACACAGTTGTGAGGTTACCCATCTCAGTGTGTTCAGAGCTGCAGCAGACAGTAGGGGATTGCTGTATGGCAGCAGTAGGGACGGGCTGTGAAAAATCAATTGATGCACGTCAAACATCACTTGAAGAGAATTGTACCACTAACATTGTATTTGTAGAGACTCCCATTTGGTAGAATGGTCTCTAAAGAATAAGAGATCCCAATCTAAGTCTGTACAATCATGAAATGGCTGGGTAGCCTATTCAACTAGTAGAAGCTGCTTTCCTATTGGGCCCAGCATACATTTACACAGGACAAGACATGATTACAAGTTAGTCAAGCAACAAAGTGTGGACAACAGTAAAAAAAAATTCATGAGTCAAAACAAAAGCATGTCCATTAATCATCATAATGTCTATAAGTTGTCATAATGTTCCAATGTCAAAACAATTTGTGATTTATGTTTAGTATCATACACTTATACAGGTACAACATTAAAAGATATTTATAAAAAGTAGGTCTTGTATGGCTAGCCCAGACTATTTAAATGATATCAGTAGCTGTTTTACATTTGGGTTATGTTGGACAATGGTACATGTACATGTAAGTTATAGCAATAGACCTCATCCAATAATGAGTTTTGAACACCTCAATCCAGTCATTTTTTGTATCACTGCACTTTACATTGCAATTATAATACAAATCGTGCCACAAAGAACAGACATACAATGTACATGTACATGTATTCTTCTCACGACAAAACCTTTGTCAAAGAAATAATCAAAGCTGAACAACAAAGCGAAATGAAATGCAGGCTTGCCTTTTGAACATTCTGGCCGTTGCTTTTGAAGTATAAGTCGGCAAAGATCCCGCCTGTCAATACTAAGGCACCAAGGATAGCGGCTAGTACAGCAAGACCCACACATTGACTTGTACAAGCTGGAAAATATGTAAAAAAATTAAGGTAAGGCCTAGGAAAACCTCCCATAGATTGCAAAATTTGCACTAGAAAATGAAGAAAACATCGGGCATTGTCAAGTATTGCCTCCCTGGATATAGCCACAGTTTTGCCCAGACATGCAGTGCAAACAACATGATAAATTCTAATTTTGCAGTGAAAATGCCCCATTTTTCATTCAATTTAGGAAAAGTTTCTTGTGGAGCTCAATTTTTTCAGGACTGTGATAGGAAGCACAACATTCTCCTAGCCCTAAGGGACAACATTGAAAGCAACCAGATATGCTCCAAACAAGAAAAAAGGAATGCGGAAATGTTGACTAGTGCTACTAGTGTAGATTTCAAAGGATGTCTGTAACTGTTGCACTATGATCGAAAAATAGATCGCGAAACAGAAACACCTTAAAGCAAAAATACATGGTACCAAATTTATATACATTTGTATAGATATAACAAAAATCCATTTCAATCTATTTCAATGTATTGTATGTGTAAAAAAATACATGATACAGGAAACAATCAAAACAAGAGTAAGTGATGCATTGTAAAAAAGATATGCCTTACCACAAGCTGCTTGTTTGAGAATGTTCGCCATGTACATCTTGTATTTGTACATAAAGCTCTGGTTCAAGTTGTCTGAAGTTGGAGGTTGTGCACCACTTTCTGGATTTGCAGGCTGTGCACCATGTTCCGAATTTGCACCATTCTGATATGGTGGACTTGCATTTGAGGGTTGACGGTTATTTGGTATGTTACTGTAGCGTTTAGAAGTATCCCCTGCAACAGCATCATTTCCAACTGGGCTACAACCTACTGCCATGTTGGACGAGGTATCATTGCTACTACTAAGATACGAAATAGCATAAGGTTGTATGATGCCATCATCATCAGAGGGGACACTGTTTGGTTGTTCGTTCTCAGATGCACCACCGATGTTTGTATCCCTGATACTGTCATTCTCATATACAGCATCATTTCCAGCTAAGTCACACCCTGCTGTCATGCTGGTCGAGGTATCATTGCTACTGCTTAAAGCTGCGGCTTTTAATCTTGTCTCAGCATTATCCTTGGGCAATTCAGTTTCTTCATATGACAGATTCGGGCAGAGATATGCAATAGCATAAGGCTGTATGATCCCATCGTTATCAGAGGCGGCACAGTCTGGTTGTTTGTTCTCGTCTGCAGTGCTAATAGTTGAACCTCTGTTACTGTCATTCTCGTATACATTTTGCTGGCGTGTGGCTGTGGGGACACTGAGTGCCGTCAGGTTGAAAGACCCGCCACTGCTGTTGCCTGTTGTTGTGTTCTCCAGTGGCTGTTTTATCTGTGTGTCCTCGGAACTTGGCCTCAAAAACCCTTTGTGATCCTCGCACATGGACGCAACACGGCACGATTGGATCTCGTCATCAGTGGAGTTGGTGTTGTCTGTTTTTCCAGTTCTGTTTCCAGCTCTGACCACACACTTGGCCGCTGTGTTGTCGTCATCTCTTTGCCGGTAGCTATGAGAACGGCCCTGACTGAAGGGATTTCGGGAGTAGCGCTGATCACGGGTATCCCCATCACTTTCAGCTTGCCTGACGACACACTCATCAGTTTTAGCCTCCAACCCTGCTTGCATCTTGCTGTTGCCAGACATGTTGTGTACAGGGAACCTTGGTAATCTCCCAGCAGATCTTTTAATAGCTACAGGACAATTAGCAAGATAGTATCCACACACCACCGAACGGTGGCAAAAAGAGATACCGGTACAAAAAACAAAGGCTGATAAAAACGAATGAAACGACGTCAAAAATTTTTAAAAGTCTGCTTGGAGTGGTGCAATGTCGGTTGTGAGCTCGTATGTTCGTCCACTTGTCCCAGCAGCAACTGGCAATCTGTCGGCTCTACGCGAGGATACAGTGTATGTGGATTTGAAAAAACCAATGGCCTGTGGGTACACCACCAGACAATTAAGGACTGTTCTTCCTCTGTTTGGTTTGATTTTTCCGATGCTGGTAATCAATACCGTTCTTTCATTTGGCTTGCTTCTGCAAGTGTTGAGTCGAGAGAACAGTATAAGTGCGATTTGTTTTTACCTTCTGATTGTCTTTGCTGAGCCGTTCATGTTGGATCCAGCTGGCTTTGAACAATACATTTTGATCTGAACATTAGAAGTGGAGTGGATACAGCTATAAGTCCTGTGTTTGTTGTGCACGTGGAACATGGAGATTGTCTACACTCAGTTTGAGCCCCTTTTTTCGTCTTTGCGCTGAGTATCACATTGGTTGTCGAATAATATGTTGGTGAAGGTTAGACATCCAGGTAATAAGATGCACCAAAAACAGATACTCAAGCAACTGGATTTATCTGTACATACTTTGCTGTTTTTTCAGATGTATTTGTGTCATGTTATATGTCTGTATACTATGGGCTGTTGAGCCTGAAATAAACAATAAACAAATAACTGTTTTGTCCTGCACAGCGCCCTTTACTATCATCACGTTCCCGTTCCTGTTTGCGGTGATGTTCGGAGACGCGGGACACGGGCTCATCATGGCGCTCTTCGCTCTCTGGATGGTCTGGAGGGAGAAACAGCTGATGAACCAGAGAAAGGATGACGGGGTATGATTAATTATTGCAGGCTTGTGATTATGAATTCCATATTGGAGATTGAAAAGTCTAATCTGATTGGAGGATATTTGGTGTTCAATTAGTGATGTACCAATCAAGGGCAAGCACACAAATGATGGCATTTCAGCACCAAGGTCAGTCCCTTCCTTCTCCACCAAGCAAAGCAGTAAAATATACGAAATTTTCTTTTCCAGAATCTGCAAATAACATGTTCATCGTATTAAAATTTAATGTAATATATTCATCAAACAAGCATAACATGTATAGTAGTTGAAGATTTATTTTGATTTTTGTTTTTTTCTTTTTAATGCCCACAATTATGATAATGATCATTCTGGCATACTCATTAACACCTGAGAAAAGTGAGGTAATGAAGTGCCTTTCCCAAGGGCACAGGTTGGTGACATGGCAGGATTCAAACCCCTGACCTCTTGGTTCTGAGCCAAATGCTCTGTGGTTACATCACATGACCCCTTACATTGTAACCTATTGTAACCTTTTTTTTCTGTACGCAAACTCTTTCAATTCAGGGATTCTCATCCCTGCTGCAAGGTTTGCTTTTGGTGTTGAAATAAATAAAATAAAATAAAACATGTACATCTCTAATTGAAGTTCCCTCTTTGCCTGTCAGATCTGGAGTATCTTCTTCGGTGGACGTTACATCATCCTGCTGATGGGAGCCTTCTCCATCTACACTGGGTTTATCTACAACGACTTCTTCTCCAAATCTCTCAACATCTTCGGCTCTTCTTGGCACATGGCAAACATCAGGTACGGATGCTTTCATCATTATCCTTACAAAAAAATAGGTACTCTATTTAAGTAGAACATGGATTATTTATGGCTTCACCACACCACGAAGTGGTGTGGTGAAACCATATTGCCTTTTCTGATGTTTCTTCTCCTTCTCCTTCTTCTTCTCCTGCCATTTTTTAAATGGATTCAGCTTCTTCATTTTGGGGCCTAAGGACCTGAAATTTGGTATGGAGGTACAGTGGGCAAATACCCCCAGGCGTTTTTTAAATTTTGGTGATATAGGCTTTTAGAATGGTTTTATTTGAGCTTTTTGGCTGTGTTATAGCAAATGTATTACTGTGCTGTGTACCACGTTTGGGCATGAGTCATCACAATGGAATGCAGGGCATCAACCAATAGGCATGTAGCTTTCCTCTATTCTTCTTGCTGATTGGCTGTTGGGATTTAACTTGATTAACACTTGCACAGAGCATTTCCACCTGCACAGAGCATTTCTTGCTGATTGGCTGTTGGGATTTAACTTGATTAACACCTGCACAGAGCATTTTCATACTGACAGTATGTCTGTATTCAAGTGTTTTGGTAGGTATTTTAAGCTTTCCTGCTCCAGCATTGGAATGCGGGGCATGAATGTTTTTTTTTATATTTGAAAATCAACAGTTTGCATTATGCAATTAAAAATCCTAACCAATAATGTAGGGAATAGCTATCCAACTGTTGTTTTAGTTGTATGTTACTTCATATTATAGTTATATCAATGTAAATCATTGTTTTCCCTTGTGTTTCTCATTCTTTCCCTACCATGTCGTAAAATGTGGTGAAGCCATCGCTGTATTTGCTCCTAAGCAAATATTGGCCTTTCTAGTTCATCATTATTGTTTCAGAAATATCTACTTTATCTAGGTAGAACTTTTATTTCAAAATTAAAAAAATGTGTAAGAAAATTTCTTAGATTATTGTCAAAATGTCCTGGATGATGGCATTTCAGCACCAAGGTCAGTCTCACCAAGCAGAGCAGTGAAATAATCATACAAAATTTTTTTTTCAGGAATCTGCAAATAACATGTTAGTAATATTAACTGGAATCATGGATTCCGCAATCATAAAATGTATGACGATTGAAAATAGATTATCTTTGTGCATTTAAATGTATGTCAAACCAAGATTTTCTTCAAGACCACATCTGGACAAAGAAGACTTAGAGTTGTATCACCTTTGTCAAGTTGTATTTTCAAGTAATTTTGTGTACATTTTCAGTGATGATGACATCAAAAACAATGAACTTCTTGAGCTGGACCCAAATGTGACTGCAATCTACAAGCCTGCCAGCCCATATCCATTTGGGATAGACCCAGTAAGTATAATATTTCTCATATACTCAGTGTCTCCTAAAACTTACCACAAGGTCTAAATCTTCCATCTTTGGTATAACATTGACTTTGATACTTCTAATTCCACTGGACACCATATGACACGCCAAAAAAATACAGCACTAGTAATCCTGCAGTTTGCACACACGTCTTCAGATATTTAGGTGTTGAAGGCACTCTGTTGTATCGGTATAGTCGGCATAACTGACCTTCGGCATAACACACCAGCTTCGCAGACATGCAGCGCAGCAGCAGCTAGCTATATTACAGTGAATGATCTGTTACAGCCAATCTTTTTTTTGAACACCTCAATTCTTGGTTGATACTTGAAGGCTTGGCTTTTTCTCATTCTCAATCCTTGGAAAGTATGCGACAGAATTGATGTTAATCTTAATGTTCAAGCTTCATTTTCCTTGCCTTTTTTTCTGTGCTGGGGACCTAATGAAATAACATTGTAATTTATCTCTTTTTCAGATTTGGAATTTGGCTGAGAACAAGATCACCTTCCTGAACTCCTTCAAGATGAAGATGTCAGTGACCCTTGGAGTGATACAGATGAGCTTTGGAGTCTGCCTCAGTCTTAGCAACTATCGGTCAGTCAACCTCTCTATGGTGTATTTTACAAACTGTTCTACATGTGTATAACACATCTTTTCAATAGCCATTTGACTGTTGATTATTATTACTGATGATTAACTAAATAGTTAGCATGAGTGAGTGATATTTAGATGTGTGCTCATCATCACTTTGCTTTTTCTCTGTAGGTTCTTCAAAGACCCACTGTCGATGTTCAGTGTGTTCATCCCCCAGCTGATGTTCCTGATGTGCATCTTTGGGTACATGGTCATTATCATCTTCTTCAAGTGGATCGCCTATGATGCAAGCATCTCTTACGTAAGATTTGGCCTCTTCTTTCTCTCTTTTACAAATAAATTCATTTTGCTTCTTGAATGGAATGTTTTGTTTTTGCTGTGCTTGTTTGCTTTTGTCTGTTAGTTAATTTGATGCAGTATAGTGGAGGGAAGTGTGAATGTGTGGGGAGAAATGGTGTAACAACAGACTGACAGGAAGGGCAAATTTGGGGCCAGAATGGTCTCATGGCAAGCTGGAAGAATATTAGAGATTATCTCATTTTCTGGAAATAGCATCTATCTTAGAATCTATTTGAGTTTTGTCTTGTGCTTATGTTACAGATTTCTTTCAACCAATCCAAAACAAAAGCATGTAACAGTTGTTAAAGCTTCCTTCCATGCCCATGTAAGTTAAAGAGGAATATTCCATGTACTTTAAAAGCTGTGAAAGCTGAGTTTTGGTTTAATTTTTTTGTTTCAGAAAGCTCCCAGTCTCCTGATCACCATGATCAACATGTTCCTGTTCAAGTTTCCTGACAGTCAGGATGACTACATGTACAGCGGGCAGGTAAGCCTATATTTATCTGTTTCTGTAAAAAAAAATTTCCTCTTTAAATTAGGACTGAGTCGTTCTATGATTGGTTGAGTAAGGTCAGCCTGTTGGAATCAAGATGGCTGACCCATGATGTCATAAAACATTATGGCGATGCCCATGGATGGAGGGTAAAACAGAACAGGTTTGTGCTGTGCAACACCTGTAATGCTTGGTGCCACCTGTCAGATGTTTGTCAGCCAGCTCCTGTCCCTTGCAGTTCCTTTGTGACTTGCTTGGTGGCAGGCATGCACAATGTCTCCTGACCTTTCCTACTGAATCATCCCCACAGAAAGGGCTGCAGATCTTCCTGGTGTTGGTAGCCGTGGCCTGTGTCCCATGTATGCTGTTCATCAAGCCGTACTTCGAGTGGCGTGCGCACAAGAGCGGCAAGCGTACCGTAAGGGTGAGCAGAGGCTCCAGGTTCTGATGTTGTTGTGCCGTGGAATTGTGTACATGTATAACCCCTGTGTTGTCATACATTTTCTACACATGCCTTTTGTTCCTTTTGAGAGGCTTTTTTTCTTCTTATGGAACTTTTTGTGTGAAGTACATTAATTTGTTACGCCAAAAAGCAGTTACTCAAGCAACTGGATATGATTTTGAAAACGTCAGACGTTTATTAATTTGTAATTGTTTCAATGGTTACTATCTTGGTTATTAATTTGTAATTGTTTCAATGGTTACTATCTTATAAAAACTTTTTTTTTCATATTATTTGGGTTTGACATTGCATGGCACCACCATTGAAGCTTGGATTCCTTTGTTTTAAGATTATGTACATCTTGTCTTTAAGTCATGTATTATTAGTGTATTCATTTTAAGCAGTAATTGCATGACAGCAAGCACAATATTGTTAATCTACTGTGATTTTCCTCACTCAAAATGTATTGTTATGAAATAACATGATTATTACTACAACTAACCAATATCAATCACAAGTACACCAGTGGAAAACTATGCCATACTGCCTGTCCATGTCTATGTATGTTTGTCCATGTGTGATATCTGCAAAAGGCTCCCCAAGTCAAACATTTCCCATTCATATCTTTGCTGCCCCGCACACAGCTCATTCGCTGAAAACATGGCTGCATTCTCTCTCTGATATGCTGCAAACTTTGGTGTAAAATGGAGCTTCAGGGTCTTCACAGTTCATCTCTCTTTCTCTAGTCATGCTGATGCAAGGTTCCCATGTCGTAGCTCACAAGATTTTACTCTCTTTTCCCACTTTTGAAAGATAGGAAATGAAATAAAACTATGATCTTTTTATTCTATTTTTTAAAAAGACAACTGCCATTTTGGTTGAAGTGACAACATTTTGGTACTTTTTGTGCAATACATATGTTTTGTGCTGCCATTTTTTACAACAAACTCAAGGCTTAATCATGGTAAAGTGGTAAAATGGCAAAGTGTAATGCTTTTCTGATTGCAATTTGGCATTGTCGTTATTGCCAAGCACATTCAGTAAGTGTGTTGGGCTCTTTTACGTGCAGAGATTCAATGCTTGAGGCTAATGCCTGAAGCCACCAGATACATGTACACCAGGCTTGATGTCGCCATCTGAAGCAACAAATACAGAACACAATTTTTTACTCCACAATAGCCTTTTGCAACTTTTAACTTTTTTATCCAGGCATTTTTTTTTTGTTTTTCTTTCCATTTTTCTTCTTTGCAGTATTCTTTGTTTTGTTGAAAGATTTTCTGGAATTTTTTGGCAACACCACAGGGGCAGAGCCTCAGGGACTTCAGCAGCTTTTAGCAGCATGTTTTGTCATGTGAACCTTGTCCAGCCCCCCTCCCCACCCTCCTGCATGGCCCGGCTGTCAGCTTCTTGTCTTGCCTTGTGTTCTGTTACAGTTTGGGACTGTCCAAATGCAGGTCAACGGTGCCTCGGAGGACACCGCGGTCATCATGGACCAGGACGAGGGGGAGATGCCCCCGCCACCGCCCGAGGGGGCCCCCGCTCACAAGGAGGAGGAGGAGGTGGGCAGATGGGGGACTGGTGTATTTGTACAGCTCTTTGTAACTATGAGGCTGAACTGCGAGTTTTGTTATGTTGATTTTCGTCACCCTTTTGACATTAGTTTTGATTCACAGAATGATAACTCAGCTTAGCTCAATATCTACTGGACTCAAAATACTTTTTTTCTGTTACTTTTTGCATATTATGCAAAGTTGTATGTTGGCAAAAATTTTACATGCAATGTGAAAAATCTATAATATGCAAAATTCAATTTCAGCTTTCACAGAATTCTCAAGATATACAAGATACAAATGTAAATAAGAAAATCTCCAACACAGCAGTTCTTATGATAGAGGGAAATTTTTAGTGGGTGCAACCAGAAGAAATGTGGTGCATGCCTAAAACCCGACAAATTTCGAGAGACTTGATGTACATGTAAACATCAAAACCATGCATATAACGTACATAAATCATTGCTGAAAGATCAATATTGTGACAGTCTTTCTTCCTCCATCCAGTTTGACATAGGAGAGATCCTGATCCACCAGGCCATCCACACTATAGAGTTCTGTCTGGGGTGTATCTCCCACACGGCCTCCTACCTGCGACTCTGGGCTCTTAGTCTGGCTCATGCCCGTAAGTTGTGCTGTTTTCTACACATACAATACAGACCTCCACTAACTTCATCTACACCTGGGCAAAGTTGTGCTAAACGTATGCAAATGCCATGCATTTCTTGAAAGTCGTGCACTACTTGTTTGAATCATTTCTCGCGTAAAATAGATTTTTGAAGAAAAAGACTGTCCTCAACTGTTGGCAGCAAAATATGAAGATTTTTGAGTTGATTCAGAACCGAGAATCTTTTTTTTGCAAATCAGAAAAAATGAAGAGGTGAATCCGAGAACCAACACATTAAATTGGTGTGGCCTTACTACTGTGAACTAATAATTTTGCGACTTTTTTTTTCTGCACCTGCCACCACCACAAAAAGATATAGTTCCACGAACATGTCCATTTTTCTCAGACCGCAAATGTTTGCTACATGTACATCAATTGATTTCCTGTAGCCCCTGTTGGGCATGGATATGCAATGGATATGCCTAATATTGCCATTAAACGAGCCTGTATTGTTCCTACAGAGCTATCAGAGGTCCTGTGGAGCATGGTTCTGCACATCGGGCTGGGCTTCAAGGGCTGGGTGGGAGCCGTGGTCACCATCCTTGTGTTCCCAGCCTTCGCTGTGCTGACTGTTGCCATCCTCTTGGTCATGGAGGGGCTGTCTGCTTTCCTGCACGCCCTGCGTCTGCACTGGTAAGTACCAAGCAGGCTTTTTCACAAGAACTACAGTGTACAAAATGTATATACATTCCAACTTGTGCTAGTGACCACCTCTACAGAAGGACTACCTGGCCATTGATACAATACACATGTATACTGTATTCAGGACCACTTGGCCATTGATATTCAGTCAAACCTGTTCTAGTGACCACCTCTACATAAGGACTACCTACATGTAGATCTGACCATTGAAATTCAGCCAAACCTGTAATATTAATGACCACTTCTACTAAGGACCACCTGCCATGGTCATTGATATACAGTCAAACCCGTATTAGTCACTACTAGGGGTGGGTACCTGTTCAGCCAGATCGGTTTAAACTGGAACAACATTCAGGAACAGAGTTCAAAAAACTGAAACGCGAAAACCGGATCATCGGACCTGATGTACATTTCTGTAGATTGTACACACATCTTTAAATAATCTGGCCATGGCAGGTAAAGAAAATAATCCTGAATCAAACTAGATTAGCCTAAATCCATGTTTGTCTCTTTCTGTAACTGTGTTCAGCTTTAATTAAGCCGACAAAAAAGTTGGTGGGCCACAAGGTTTGGTACTGAGTGATACAGTAGATATACACACTAGTGAGAGTGACCTGTACTTGTGTTTTGTGCTCCAAAATATGATACAGTACTACTGTACAATAATCAGGTTCAGGTTCAATTTTCTATACAGGTACTCACCGCTAGTCACTATCTCTACACAAGGACAACCTGTCCAATGTGACCATTTTTTGGTTGTCCCTTAGAATTTTCCCATTGACAGTCACATTTAAAGCATTAGTAGGGTGTTCTAGTATGCTGGACTCTCTGTCACTGTTGAAGTCAGTGGAGATGTATATATATGTTGTGACATTCTTAGCGGTCCAGCTGTAGTACCAGTAGTTGTAGAATGGTTCTAAAGTTGTTGTAACCTCTGTTCTTCAGGGTGGAGTTCCAGAGCAAGTTTTACAAGGGCGAGGGTCACCAGTTTGTCCCCTTCTCCTTCGAAGCACTCATGGAGGATCATAACTAATATACCAAGCCACTACTGCAACTGTCAAGTGTCAACCATTCTGTAGTAACTCTAGATGAAGATGATTAGGCCACACCAATTAATTTTCCTGATTCTTGGACATTTCAAGTTAAAACTAGAGCAAGTTGACATCATAAAAAAAACAGAAGCCAGGAAGGAAAACTTGAATATAACTTTCACTCCAAGTACACCCAGGCAAAGACCTGGTTATGTTTGTTGAAGGAAAACATATTGTTTTTACTCTGTTCCAAACACTGACCTGGTCAATAATCTGAACCAGACTGTCTGTCACCAGACTCACCATGGTAACTGGTGTTTGGTTACATGATGTTGCAATTTTATAGTAAGACTCCATATATGTGAATGTGTTTAAGTAAGAATTAACAGAGCAGACCATATGAGAAAGTAAACATTATGCATTTTTTTTTACTTAGTGGTCGCCACGTAACACGGCCGTTAGGCCACTTCAAGGTTGGTTAACCACCTGAATGGTATCACCTGAATGGCATTACCACCTGAATGGTATTACCACTCACCTGGGTTAAGGGTTACTGAGAAGAACTGTAACAGCAACTCTTCTTCTACCTGAGTCAGAAACATCAGGGTTGAGACCAGCCCAATTTCTTACAAGTAGTGAGGACTACCTGACCCAACAGGAGAAGCAGGGGTTGTGAGGCTGGTCGGGAAAATTCCCTACCCCATTTCCATAACGGTTTGTTCCACTTCCACTCATGTGGGTTCTTTAACGTGCTTGAGGTGTGTCTCTCCTCAAACATGGGACCTCCTTTTTAACGTCCCATCCGATAAGACGCTCCTTACCGAAGCTAGGTACTCATTTTCACCTGAGTGAAGTGAGGAAAGTCGTGTAAAGTACATTGTACCTTTCCCAAGGGTACGTCGGGGCCACCGCTACACCACACGACGCTACATCACTGCTTTGCAAATTTTACCTTAAGTTTCTAGTTTTCATTATGTTTTTTTCCAGTTATTAAAGCGTATTTAAAAAGAATTGAGAACCAACAAATTAAATTTATCACACCAGAGCTAGTATGCATTTCCAATATAGTGCTACTGTACATTGTACTACAGTATTGTTTCAACCACAAACTTAAAACACTGAGAAGCTCTTTTCCTTTCTACCCCAAAATTAAATTACCCTGCGAAAATAAATGACTTAAAGTTTACAGTTATCAGAAAATTTAATGCATAGTGCAATCACTTCTTTGTGTTAAGATTTTTTCCCCGTTTTTATTACTTTTGCCCAAGGATGAATATCTTGCCAAAATATTCACTCACTCACTCACTATCCTGGTTTAGATTATTCTGCTGTCGGTTTCCCTGTCCCTGAAAATAATTGGATTTGTGTGTAGGTGATCTAGTAAGAAGTCAGTTTGTGAGTGATTGCACATTCCTTAAGTACAATATTGTAAGTATACTAGCAAGGATGGAGAAGTGTAGTAATTATAACAAGTAATAGACTGTCAGATTGTGAACATGTAATCACAAGATGTACCGGTGCATGGGCCTATATGTAGCAGGGAGATACTTCCTCTTGTATTTGCTAAGTATCTGGTTTGATTCCCGGCCAAGTCATATCAAACAATGACACATACTTCTTTCTCTGTTCAGCACTATTTGCCTTTATCTTGATATGATTAGATAGATCAAAATCAACTTTTGACAGTTGCTATAGAAACCATTCCTGCTTATCATAGTGAAGTTAGATAGATACTCTAATGCGTAAGTAATGGTAGAAGTGATCAGAGATGTATTTGCAAAAAAGTAATAGTCTGAAATAGTGTGAAATTTTATGCAGTATATTGTCTGGTGATATCTTGTGGCTTGATCGGTAACCGATATATACATTACATGAATATATAAAGCAGCTGTAGCGAAGTCAAAACTGCAAATTGTAGCACTGAGAATATACAAACTATGAATCTGAAGTTTGTTGTCTTGTCCATCTTAACAAAGAAAGCTATTCTAGCATTTCCTCATAAATTATGCAAATCAATAACTAAGGTTAAACTAGAGTTCCACGATCTCATGCTTCCACCAACTTATGTTTTTATCAGTTGATCGTATTCTCCATCCAATGACAGTTTTATCATAGAAATCGATTACTAGTATAACATTTCCTTCTTGTATAAATTATGCAAATTAGCCATAGTGTGATTAAGTTATGGTTTAGTAATGTTAACCTTCACTTAACTTTCAAATGCTGCAAGTATGAAATTCCTGGCAGTTACCACTATAGAATTGTAGCGTTTATCTACATCTTACATAATATCGCTTCAATCGGCATGCGCACGATGCATTTTGGGACTTATGTCCACGCTGTCTCACGGATATCTATACAAGCAGTGACGATAATTAGTCGGGACACGGGACATTTCCAACAGTATGCGGCATTTCTCGGCCCTTTCTTCCCTAAATTAACGGCTTGTGACCGTTGAAACACTCCCAGCAAGTCTATGGTTCATTTGTAGGAAGAAAACGCCGGTAAGAATCATTATTTCTCATGCGGAATATCCCTTCTCAAAGCCTGCCTTTTACAATTAGATTCAACAGTCTACAGTTTAGCCAACACATGTGTACGCTCATACGACGGTCTCACAGCGCCACCCAGCAATATTAATCGGAATTGCAACACGTACTTCCAGGTTCGTAGAGTACAGGTTGCCGCCAGTGAGAAGCCTGGTAAAGCCTAGTGATTTAACTTTCAAAACATTGTAGGGAACGGCCATACACTAGAGATCAGTACAGCAGAACCTGGCGTGAGGCAGGGTGGCCCTTTGTGTTTTGATGGTCATTTGATACTACATACTCACAACTATCGCTAGGTGGCGCTGTGAGACCGTCGGACGACCTTGTGTTGGCTAAACAGTACCGGAGACTCAGAAGAAAAGGCAGGCTTTGAGAGGGGATATTCTGACAAATAAAGCTTTTTACGACACTTTCCATCCATTCTCTGCTAAAAAAAGATTATTGACAAGTTTCTGTCTGCAAATCAGCCACATACTTACTGGGAGCGTCTTAAAGTTAACAAGACTGTATAACAGGAGCTTTCAGACTGTCTTGTCATCTTGTCTTGACTTGTCTGACTTTTGTTCCTTTTTCGACTTCCAAAAATTTGTCTTCACTTTATTTGCATATCAATCAACAGGTTGTGTATATAAACCTGCTTTCCCCTCTGGTCTCTCAGTCACTGACGAAAGCTAGTGGATACTAGCTGAAACGTCTGACGTTTTCAAAATCATATCCAGTTGCTTGAGTAACTGTTTTTTGGCATATCGTATTACCTGGATGTCTAACCTTCATCGACGTACATGACTATTACATACTCTAACACTAATTAATTCTAACAAAAGCCATAATCATAACAACACAATTTCAGCTAAAAACATGGGACGGTAAACCATAACAGGAAACCGCAATTTCGGTCAGGTTTCGGGAATGTTGCTACAAAAGACACGCTACTTTTACTATTCAACATGTGAACAAACATGGCGGCCCGGTTGTGTTTGGTGCGCGACACGATAGAATTGGTCGTGTTGGCTTCTTAAGAACCGGAAGAAACTACACAATATATAACTTAGCATTTGAGTCACGTTTTATGGACATGTGTAGTGCCACACGGCGTGATCTTCATAAAAATTATCTCATTTGCATGTTTGTGAGATTTAAATGGTACAAATTACCTCATTTGCATGTTCGTGAGACTCAAATGGTTCTGACCGCACAACACAGTATTCATGGGCGAACCCCGTACGGGTACAAAGTAGTGCTGCACAATACTAGAGAAAGGTGCAGAAATTGTTCTGTGCGTGGCATCGAGATGGAACCTGTGGTAAATGTTAGAGGAATACGTCAGTTTTGAGACTGTAAAAGTTGAATTATGGTGCATGTTCAGTCGGCGTAGATTTGCGCTTTGATTCTTGTACGGTAAGTTGTGTACTACTACAGTTACGTCATAGTTACGTCAGCCACAGGTAAATGTGACCCTGCAGTTTGGAACAAATCGCTAGAGGCCACTGCTACACTGTCCATCGGCCAGGTTTCGTCCTGACGTTTCGTCGACGTCAGGACGTTTTGCACTCAAGGGAACGACTATTTCATACTCTAAAAATTATAAATTCTAACAAAAGCCATAATCATAACAACACAATTTCAGCTAAAAACATGGCAGGGTAAACCATAACAGGAAACCGCAATTTCGGCCAGGTTTCGGGAATGTTACTACGAAAGACACGCTACATATACTCTTCAACATGTGAATAAACACGGCGGCCCGGTTGTGTTTGGTGCGCGACACGGTAGAATTGGTCGTGGTGGCTTCTTAAGAACCGGAAGAAACTACACAATATATAACTTAGCATTTGAGTCACGTTTTATGGACATGTGTAATGCCACACGGCGTGATCTGCATAAAAATTATCTTATTTGCATGTTCGTGAGATTTAAATGGTACAAATTACCTCATTTGCATGTTCGTGAGACTCAAATGGTTCTGACCGCACAACACAGTATTCATGGGCGAACCCCGTACGGGTACAAAGTAGTGCTGCACAATACTAGAGAAACGTGCAGAAATTGTTCTGTGCGTGGCATCGAGATGGAACCTGTGGTAAATGTTAGAGGAATACGTCAGTTTTGAGACTGTAAAAGTTGAATTATGGTGCGTGTTCAGTCGGCGTAGATTTGCGCTTTGATACTTGTACGGTAAGTTGTGTACTACTACAGTTACGTCATAGTTACGTCAGCCACAGGTAAATGTGACCCTGCAGTTTGGAACAAATCGCTAGAGGCCACTGCTACACATGTCCATCGGCCAGGTTTCGACGTTTTGCACTCAAGGGAACGACTATTTCATACTCTAACATTTATTAATTACAACAATAGCGATAATCGTAACAACACAATTTCAGCAAAAAATCATAACAGGAAAGCGCAATTTCGGCGGCGTTTTCGGGAATGTTACTACGAAAGGCACGCTACGTTTATTATTCAACACGTGAACAAACATGGCGGCCCGGTTGTGTTTGATGCCGACACGGTACAATTGGTCGTGTTGGCTTCTTAAGAACCGGAAGAAACTTCAAAATATATAACTTAGCATTTGAGTCACGTTTTATGGACATGTGTAGCGCCACACGGCGTGATCTTCATAAAAATTATCTTATTTGCATGTTCGTGAGATTTAAATGGTATAAATTACCTCATTTGCATGTTCGTGAGATTTAAATGGTTCCGACCGCACAACACAGTATTCATGGGCGAACCCCGTACGGGTACAAAGTAGTGCTACACAATACTAGAGAAAGGTGCAGAAATTGTTCTGTGCAAAAATCCTACGGTCTCACAGCTTTGCCTAACTCTGTGACCACCTTAACGGTCTCGCTTAAGTTCTGCCTAACTCTGTGATCGCCCCGACGGTGTCCCTAAAGTTTTGCCTAACTCTGTTACCGCCCCAACGGTGTCCCTAAAGTTTTGCCTAACTCTGTGACCGCCTTAACGGTCTCCCTAAAGTTTTGCCTAACTCTGTGACCGCACCAACGGTACATGTTGCAGTTCTGGCTAATATCGCTATGGCGCTGTGAGACCGTAGGATGGTCAAGGAAGGCCTCATAGCCTGCATGTTTTATGCCTGA